TTGCTAATAAGGCAGCTAAGTGCTACTTGGTTCCTTCCCACCGTTGCCAACTACTTGCTCAGAGGGAATCCAAAGGCAACTTTGGATTGTTGGGTTCTCTGTTTATATTCATAAGGCCTATACCTTACTATGTTGGACTCTGTGAGATGACATATGTTGTAAACTGTGCTATACAAATAAAATTGAATTGAATTAAATTGAGTGTTGCACTACACTTTATACCTCTATCAGTCCTTCACCCAACACTTTCAGATTCTACCAGCTGAGTTTTGCAATGCTAAAAGCTCTACCACATATAAGCCTCTGAAAATGTCTTTTCTGTGTTTACACTCTTCAGTTATTAGTTGAATAACCTTGATTAAAAGTAACTGTGAGTTATTTCCTTGTGATTAACTGGCTTTTCCAGTATTAAACATGTCTCTTGGACCTCCTTGATTTTCTTGACTTAGATCAACTTAATTTACTGTAATTTTAATATTGCAAAATTAGATGGTTTAACCAAATTAAGTTAGGTTGAAGTCAACCCTTGGAAGTAAGTTAATCGTCCTGATAACAGCTTCTGAAGACACGGTGTAGTGTTTAAACTTTGATTTCAGTAAAACGTTGAAGTCAAGCAGCACTGAAGTTCAAATCGACTACTAGTAGTATGTTGATTGCTTGAAGTATTTGTGCAAAGATAGACTAAAAACACACAACAAACACGATTTATCTGTTTTTACTTGGGTTAATATCCATTATCTATACACCGCTTAATCCTCACTAGGGTCGCGGGGGGGCTGGAGTCTATCCCAGCTGACTCAGGGTGAAGGCAGGGGACACCCTGGACAGGTCACCAGTCTATCACAGGGCTACACTTAGAGACAGACAACCAAGCACACTCACATTCACACCTACGGACAATTTAGAATCACCAATTAACCTGAACATGTTTTTGGACTGTGGGAGGAAGCCGGAGAACCCGGAGAGAACCCACACTGCACGGGGAGAACATACAAGATCCTGGGTGTCCTCACCAGGACGTGAACTGGCGACCTTCTTGCTGCGAGGCAACAGTGCTAACCACCGATCCACCTTGCAGCCCTGGGTTAATATTATTATTTTAAATAGAACAGTTCAGAGTTTGGACATTTAATCATATGGTCTTGGACACCAGGACATTGTGATGGGTAGTTTTAACTGTTTCTGTCAAATAATGCCAATATAATCAAGAGAGTAATTGGCACATTTGTAAAAAAATAAAAATAAAATAAAAATGATCACTGATCCCAGCCTTAGCTTTAACCAAATCTAACCAATCAGTGCTGTACTATACGTTGGACTGTGTGTGTTTTGGTCTGTATTTATTACTGAATGCTAGCAGTGGACAACGGTGGTTCCAGAAACAAGCTCCTGGGTTTTCAAAGGTGTTTACTAAACTGCCAATATGTTTTTTTTTCCCCCAGAGAAACCTTGACAGCCCTCTCACCATGAGGGTGGCCTGGTCTCCGGCCATGTCTGGAGCAGGACAGTTCTCGGCCATGTAGGCCTCCTTGGCTGTCACAGCGTCCTTTTTCTCCTGCTCAAGCCAGTTCAGAGCAATCTGAAGGATCAGACTCTGCAGGAATGAAACATGGAGAGGTCACGTGAACAAAGCCATAATATAATTGAACAGCACTCATTGAAAATAATGTAATGAAACACCAGACTGAAAATAGTCCTGAACAAATGCACTATGTCCTCCTGTTTGGGTAAAGACTATGGCCAGCGATGTCAGAAGATTACCTGACCTTTTTAGAAACTGTAACTATATATTTGTACAATGTTTTCTAGGACATACTATGTAGCCATGACACATTTAAAAAGAAATCAGTACTTTTATTTTGTAGTTTTCTTGTTTTTTACCTTCAGGTGATGCCTACGGCTGGAGGTCATTTTTTTCCTGTTTGGGAGGAGGATGGAATCAGAAAGGCGTCACATTCACCTTAAAAAGGTTCATACTCTTGCAACAGGCAAAAATATCTTGATGAAAGATAGTTAAACATTTGCTCATTTTTCCAAGTTTAGCTCGTTTAATCATTAACGAGTCTTGAAATAAAGCAGGTTTCTTCTTTCAGGCTAAACTTATTATTTATGTAGAAAGAAAAGAGCAAACTTGTCTCCAATTTGCCTATTTTTACACTTATGTTAAAAATGTCTTCTTAAATTCCATAATCAGGACAAAAAAATGTTTGCAAGCGTTTAAGTGATTACAACAGGATGTGGTTCACACTTACTCAGACATCTTGGCAGTTTTTGCGGTTCACAACCTACGTTAAGAGACAGATAAGAAAGCAGTGAGGAGAGGATGTCTGTGTAGATTCTCAGTTATCAAAGCAACTGGACTTCTCTTTTTGTTTTTCATTCTTGAGGACATTTCACCTCTCAGCTGAACAGGCCTCTTGGATGAGAGGTGAAATGTCTTCAAGAACTGTACTCAAAAGAAAACTCTCTCCAGATCTCAGCAGCAGTGAGGTGAGGAAAACCCTTCAGTCTTTTTGACCTCAGCCGAACACCGTCGCCGTTCAGATCACGCTGCTGCCAGTGTGAGTTTGTCTGAGCTCAGCATGTTCTGCTGTTCTGATGGGAATGGATGGACAGGAATATTTGTGCCGTAACACAATCTGAGGCCACAGCTGAAGAGCAGCGACGTCGACTGAACTAAACTGGGAGAGTCGGGATCGGGTGTCGTGTGTCTTTTGGTTTTTATGACCGGATCAAGTGAAGGCTTAATTTGAATAATTCTCGAGTGGCATATTAATAAATACATTTTATCGCTAAGACATTTTAATTACTTTAAATGATAAACTAGTCGGTCCAAATTAGATAGATAGATAGATAGATAGATAGATAGATAGATAGATAGATAGATAGATAGATAGATAGATAGATAGATAGATAGATAGATAAAGTTGTGCATGTGGTCCTGTTATTGATTTGTTTTATTAAATTTTACTTCTTCACAGGCCTCACAGACCCAAATTTTAAAATTTTAATTAGAAAATGATTCTACAAATTAAATTATTCACTTAGAACAAATAAACACGACTCTTTATTAAAAAAGCAACAGCCAAGAAAATACGTCAGCCAGCCAAGTATGAAGCTGCTCAGTCCTACAGACACTAAAACAAATACCTGAACCAAAAACATAAGTTTACCGACCACATTTCCAGATTCATGAAGCCGTTTTAACAACTGTTGAAAGACATTATGTTAAGTCCATCCATCCATCCATCAGAATAATCATTTCTGTCGCTCCAAACCTTCAGAGAATCTTAACTTATTGCTGATAACACTTTACAGAAACGCGTCCTGAGGCATGCCGGTGCAGCAGAGTTTGCCTCCGTTTGACAGGTTACAATCACTTTCTAAGACCGATCTGCAAACTGGTCCTAAAACACAAGACCGTTAAACCCAGCACAGTGCAGCTCAACAGGTCTCGTAAATTTAGGTCTGTCAGAAAGAGGTCAAATGTTACTGACAAACATGCAGAAAGCGAGTTCAGGATGTCAGGATAGGTCAAAGGTGGAGAAACAGAAGGCTATGATCCCACTTTAAGTGATGCCTCCTAAAATGTCTGGTTAACGTGGAGCTGCTCTCGAAATCATTTGTTGGCTGATAAAATAAAAGATGCTGCTCTAAGAAAGAGTGTAAGAGACTGCAGGAGAAAGAATAAAAAAAGACAAAATAAGGAAGATTTCTCACCTATTGAAAGGAGGAAGGACAAGACACACTTGGTGGAAGAAAGCAGACACTGCCAAAGGCACAGACAGTGAAAAATGAAATAGGTATATATGGTGGGTTGCGATGTCTCAGCAAAATGCCCAAATCCTCTTTATGGAAATGGATTCCCAGTCAGACCAATGGGCCTGCGAGCTCCTGAAATACACCCGGCCCAGCCCCGCTGTGCAAACCACCCTCCCTGTGAGAGCGCTTCATGTTGAGCTGAGGACTCCATGGAGCACATTCACTGTGTGTGTGTGAGTAGAATAAAATGGACATAAAGGAACATAAAGTGAACATTTCAATCTTTAGGGTTAAAACACAACAACTTTAAAATCTGCTCTTCTTTCTTTGATGTTTTTCTTTATTGTTATTAATTTGAAGACAAATGCAGCCTTACTAAGCACTGCACTGTCACACCAAATGGAAATATCAGAATCTTTTGCTGCTAATTATGAAAATGAACACACCGTGTCAACCGCATGTCATTTTGACTGAACAGATTAACCCAAGCTTGATCTGATCATTCCAGTACAAACACAAACCAGCTGTGATCTGAAATGTTTGAACTCAAGTCATATTTTTTTCTTTTGAAGGAGAAACCTTTTTTTAAAATCACTGGCTTCTCTGTGTGTAAAGTCCTGAGGCACAATAAGGACATGATTAGCCTAGCTTAGCATAAAGACTGCCAGCAGGGCGAAACAACTGGCTTATTCAAAAACACCTACACCTACCATTTCTTGTTAAAGTTGTAATGGAACCACACACGGTTTTAGGTTTGTACAAATAACTTAAACAAGATACATGTTTCTAAATGAGCTTCAAAAAAATCATTTAAAGTGAGTTGTTGTACCAAAACACTGTAGTTTAAATATATATTTTTAAAAACCTATATTCCTGGCATCACAATTTTATTTTGAATCTATTTTAATAAGACATGTCAATGACTGTTCTAATAGCGACAAACTATTGTTTTATTGTTCTTCTGCAGGTTGAAAAAGTCCTGGAGAAGAATCTCTTCTCTTTATTTTAGAAACTATAGACTGTTCTCTTACTATTTATTATTATTATTATTATTATTATTATTATTATTATTGTTGTTATTATTATTTTCTGTAGCATTTGTCAAAAAGACAAAATTTTTTTCATGTAAGAACTGTTCTTTATGAGTGTGTAAAAGCCAAGCTCTATTGACCCTTTAAGTTCCAGTTTGAATTAAATGAACGTATTTAACAGGTGGATAAAATTAGCAAACAAATTCATCCTTATTTCAAAACATTTATTGCTACTGATTCCATGAAAACCTGTACATTTTCAAGTGGGTTTCTTTTTGCCAGAGGGTTTTAGCTGTAGACAGGATAATGTGTTGGATTCAGTCTCTCTTGGGGAAGCGATGTATCACAAAAACAACCAAAAAAAAAACAAAAAAGCGCCTAAGCTCTTGTCCCTGAGTGTCCGCATGGGACTCAGTCAGTCAGACCTCGGACGGAAACGTCTCCCCTGCCGTTGTCCTCGCCAGTTCAGGAGGGCTTTAGGAAGTCTCGAACATCTTCTTCCTGTCGGCCTTGTCCTCAATGTTTTTACGCCAGTCGCCCACCGCCTCTGTTCCCTGGAAACAACAGTGAAGGTTGTTGGTACCAAGAACTTTGCCGTCAGGATCACAACAAACCAAGGCTGCAGAACTCTGTGTTTTTACACATTTCTTATCCAAGAGGTGTCACGTATTTTCCTTTCTTCCAGACAGCCAGTTTTTTTCCATTCATTTCTTAGAGGCATCAAAATCAACCTACAGCCACTGCAAACTGTTTTCCGTACAGTAATCTGTCAGTAATCCATTACACTGCAGGAGACCTCCTGAGCATTTTCATCCTATAAGTAGTAACATTTCAGCCTGCTATGAATGTTTTCTGAACTCAATATTTGACTCATTTCTTTGTACAACCTGACGTATACTTTTTAATTTCAAGATAGAATTTCTATTTTAGGGTAATTTTCATTGAAAACTTGTTGGAGAATTGTTTATACATTAAAGAG